CCGCCAGGGTTGGGGACAGGCCGTGAGGAGCGGCTCCGGCGCTGAGCTCCCGTGGCTCCTGCCCCGGCCTGTCCCGAGGGTTCGGGCTCCTTCCCGGGGGTTCGAGCGGTACCTGGGAACTGGCAATGTCCCAAAGTGCACACGAGAGCCTTTTAACGCTGCCCGGCCTCGCCGGGGCTCTCCTCTCACCGGGCTGCTCTTTTCTCAGCGGCTGACTCCGCTTCAGCTCCGCTTTTGGGGACTCACGTTTCTCTGTGGCCCAAACCGGAGCCATGGGGGCACCTCAGACTAGGAATGGGCTCTCTGTTGAAGGAGTGATTAAATCATTCCTTGTCTGTTTAAAAAGGCAAAAAGCCCAGAAGTTTCTCTCCCCAGTTTGGTAAGAAGATGCCTCATAGGACCTTTAAGATCTCACCTCAAACCTAAGGTTACCTAATTAGACAAAAGCAAAAAACTGTCAGGTAATTCACCAGAAAAAGAAAAGAACAAAAGAAATAATCACTTTTGTGGGGTGTTTAGTAGGAGGAAGAATGTTTTGCCCCTGGCTCGGTTTTTCTCTGTAAGAGCTCTGTTATTTTGCCTTTTATTAAAACTTTTCCTATTTCCAACACTACCTCAGAAGCCATCCTGCTAATTTTATGCCGTTTGGGGTCGCTGAGCTATCTCAAGTGTAGGAAGTTCTCTGAGAGCTCCTCAGACCTGGCTCAGAGAGAAACCCTGAAACTTTCCCTGGGTGAATGGGCAGCGCTGCACTTTCCATGCATTTCCCAGGGGAATAGGCAAACTGCCCGGAGTCCTTTGGAAAGTCAATTGTGCATTTACCTTGCACAGCAAACCCTGCCCGAGCAGGGCAAAGGGCTCACATGGAGAAAGCCACGGGCTCGTGCTGTGTCCCCAGTCCCGAATTCCATGGGATGTGCAGGGATTCCTGCCCTGAGGGATTCCTGCCCCGAGGGATTTCTCCCCTGAGGGATTCCTGCCCTGAGGGGTTCCTGCCCTGAGGGATTTCCTGCCCTGAGGGATTTTTCCCCTGAGGGATTCCTGTCCTGAGGGATTTTTCCCCTGAGGGATTCCTGTCCTGAGGGGTTTCTCCCCTGAGGGATTCCTTCCTGCCCTGAGGGATTCCTGCCCCGAGGGATTCCTGCCCTGAGGGATTCCTGCCCTGAGGGATTTCTCCCCTGAGGGATTCCTGCCCTGAGGGATTTCTCCCCTGAGGGATTCCTGCCCTGAGGGATTTCTCCCCTGAGGGATTCCTGCCCTGAGGGATTTCTCCCCTGAGGGATTCCTGCCCTGAGGGATTTCCTGCCCTGAGATTTCCTGCCCCGAGGGATTCCTGCCCTGAGGGATTTCTGCCCTGAGGGATTTCTGCCCCGAGGGATTCCTGCCCTGAGGGATTTCTGCCCCGAGGGATTCCTGCCCTGAGGGATTTCTCCCCTGAGATTTCCTGCCCTGAGAGATTCCTGCCCTGAGGGATTTTTCCCCTGAGGGATTCCTGCCCTGAGGGATTTCCTCCTGCTGCAGGAACAACAACAACCTTTTACTCCAAGGTCTCTCACAGCCAGTAACTACAGAACAAGACATTCCAGTGTCCACCAGAAAACCCACGGCTCCGTTCCCGGCCCAGGTGGCCCCAAAGGATCGGGGGGAGACAGGAGATGCCTGCAGCCCCCTCAGCCCAGCCCAGCTTCTTCCTCCCCTCCTGCTCTTCCTCGTGCCCGTGCTCAGCCCGTGCTGCCGGCAGCCCACAGCGATGTTCTGGGGTCAGTCCCAGCTCAGGGCTCGTCCCTGCTCCGGCCTCGCCTCCTGCCCGCTGCCCCGGCACCGACTGGGGCACTTCTCTGGGCTCTTCTCCTCCTCCCGCGCTGCCTGCCGTGGCCGCGGCACCGCCCGGGAAGTGCCACCCTCTGTGCCCTTGTCCCTGCCGCAGTTTCTGTCCCAGAGCTGGCACGGGGCGGGAGCAGCGCCGTGCGGAACAGCGCCGGGCCTGGGGCCGTGCCGGGCTGGGTCTGTGTGGGGCTGGGTCCGGTGGGATCGGGATCTGTTCGGGATCCATTCAGGATCGGGATCTGTTCGGGATCCATTCAGGATCTGGATCTGTTCGGGATCCATTCAGGATCAGGATCTGTTTGGGATCCATTCAGGATCTGGTTCTGTTTGGGATCCATTCAGGATCTGGATCCGTTCAGGATCAGGATCTGTTCGGGATCCATTCAGGATCTGGATCTGTTCAGGATCAGGATCTGTTCGGGATCCATTCAGGATCTGGATCCATTCAGGATCAGGATCTGTTCAGGATCCATTCAGAATTGGGATCTGTTTGGGATCCATTCAGGATCTGGATCCATTCAGGTTCCCATCCTGTTCTGTGAAATACAAAGCTGTGTTTCGTGTCAGGTACGTACAGACAACGTGTGTATTTGTGTATTTGTGACTGTGGTATGTGTGGAAACCGACCATGGGACAGTTGTAAAGACAATTCTAATGAATAACTGAGGGACTAAAGCATGGAAGAATGCCTTTGAACCTGTCCTTTGTTGGCAATTAACCTTTACAAGTCTGAAGTTGCTTTAGGAGCATTTGAATTAAAGCTTTAAGGATGTTGATGTTTGACAGGAACTTTCTGCTTGTAGCTAAGCCTTAAAGAGTTTTGCAATAATAACCTTTTGAAGTATAATTTTAGAACATTGCTTGTAGTAAGGATCTTTGAAACTATAGCTTTAGAATACATTAAAAGGAAATGTGCTTATCTTGATACCTTAACAAAACAGTGAAAAGCAGCTTGAGAAAGGAAGATGAACATCAACTCAAGGATTGATAGTTTTGACCAAGGAAAGCTGGACATCACTGTTATGAGATTTATAGTCCTTGCAATTAAAAGGTGGACCCACATCTGGAATCTGGACCTCACCAGCTGGGAGACTTCTTTCGGAAGCCGGACCCCCACCATCTGGGGATACTCCTTTCTGGGATACATCCTGAGAAAAACTAAATCACAATCGTGTGTAGAACTGTGACGCAAAAATTGGGAATAGAAACTGCCGAGAAAGCTCGTGAGTGCCCCATAAACACCTGTGAGCCCCAAGTGTTGGTGTGCAGCTGGAGGGAAAACTTCCCCCGCTGTACCCAGCGCCGCAGTGCTCACACTGTACCGCGTTAATTAATGAACTGATTGCTGCTTGAATATTGGCCTAATCAAGCTTCTCATTTGTAACAGTTCGGGATCGGGTTCCGCTCGGGATCCGGTTCTGTTCGGGATCAGGATCTGTTCGGGATCCGGTTCGTTCGGGATCCGGTTCGTTCGGGATGCGGTTCCGTTCTGGATCAGGTTCCGCTCGGGATCCGATTCCGTTCGGGATCCGGTTCGTTCGGGATCCCGTCCCGTTCGGGATCCGGTTCCGTTCGGGATCCGGTTCCGTCTGGATCCGGTTCCGCTCGGGATCCGGTTCCGCTCGGGATCCGGTTCGTTCGGGATCCGGTTCCGCTCGGGATCCGGTTCGTTCGGGATCCGGTTCCGTTCGGGAGGTTCCGGACGCGCTCGGGCCGGGCGGGGGCGCTCCGCCGCGCCGCCAGGGGGCGCTGCCCCGAGTGAGCGGCCCGAGGCGGGGTTTGGGGAGAGGGCGTGGCCATGCAAATCACGGCCGGGCAGAGGGCGGTGCCGTGCAGTAGGGAGTTATGGGCGTGTCCATGCAAATGAGTTGCCGCCGCGCGGCATGCCGGGGCCGGTCCCGCGCCGAGCCCGCGCTGCCCCGGCGCGTCCGCGGGCTTGGCGCGGGCCGGGCCGTGCTTTCCCCAAATGCGGGAAACTCGACTGCATAATTTGTGGTAGTGGGGGACTGCGTTCGCGCTCTCCCCTGGTCTCACTGGTCAAAAACAGACTGAATTTTACCTGCTTTAATCACCCGAACAGAGTTGTTCTCTGTGCCCTTATTGCCTCTGCTCCGTCCAGGATCCGTTCCTGCCCCGGTAAATCCCGCCCCCCGCAGCATCCCGGCCGGGCCGAGGCAGGAGCCGGTGCCGGGGTCGCTCCGAGCTTTTACAGCCCCTATTCACCTCTGAAGAAGCTGCTCGCGCAGTTTCTCCACCGAGCCCCCTGACGCGCTGCGGTCCCAGAGCCCCCACCCGGGTCCACTCCGCTTCCCCCGGCCCCGCCGAGGGTCTGCCAGCACAGAGGAACCCCCGGGGCAGGAAGCGAGCCCAAGAGCCTGCAGTGACCCCCAGCACGGGCAGGACGCAGTGTTACCACACGAGTTTATTTAAATAAAACCGAACACAGATGCAGCGTTGCGACCGGAGTGATGGACCAGACAAGCGATGCGACAGGGACATGGCAGCCGGGGCGGGGGGCGCTGCGAGCCCTCGGTGACCCACCCCAGCCCCGGCTCCCTGGGGGCCACGGGCGAGAGGAGAGGGCCCACTGCCGTTCCATGCCGTGCTCAGGACAGGCCTCCTCTCCGGGACCCCCGTGGCTGCAGGAGCCCCCCGCTGCCATGCCCGCACTGGGCTGGGGTTTCCTTTCCGCCTTCCCAGGAAGCTGAACCGACATCTCTCTCTCCCGTTCCGTGGCCTCCCGCTCCACCAGGCTGCCAGGCCGGCGCTCGCTCTGCCACGGGGGTCCCGGGGCCGCGAGGGTCCCAGCGGGGCGAGCAGCACGCGGCACGCTGGGCCAGCCCCCGGGGACTGGGCGCTCCTTCTCACTCTCACCGTGGGCACGCAGGACACCAGGGCGGATGTGGCACTCGCTCACGCCAGGGGGACAACAGAAATAAATATGGGGAGGGGGTGGCGCGGGCCAGGCCCCGGCGCGGGGCCAGAGCCCGTCCCCAGCCCCAGCCCCGGCGCAGCCGCGCTCCTCGCCCGGGGATGTCGGCTGGTCATGGAGATGGTGGCTTCCCCCTGGGCTGCCGGGCCCGCGTGGCGTGTGGCGGTGCGGGGCGAGGCGCGGGCTCGGCCCTCCAATGTCTGTGGTGGGGGCGGCGCGGGGCGGGCGCGGGCCGGGGCTAGTACTCGTCCTGGTCCTCTGGCGGCTGCTCCTCCAGCTCGTCGTCCTCCGGTGGGGCAAAGCCCTCCTGGGGGGAAGCGTGGCAGCCGTCGTTGGCACAGGGGTGGCACGGGTGGGCACCCCGACCTCCACCTGGCGTGGCACGAGGGCTTTGGCAAAGCCCAGCCCTTTCCTGGCACCTGGCCGAGACACCTGGGGGGGAAGGGGTCCCTGCCCTCCCAGGGAAGTCCAGGGAGCAGGACAGGGACATGGCTCCCAGGTGCCCGGCCCTCACCTCCGTGGCATAGAGGACGCTGACGATGCCGGTGATGATGGGGCTGTTCTCGTTCTCGTGCTCCTGGCAGATGAGCTCGATGTCCCGCAGTTTGCTGAAGTAGAAATCCCGCTCCTTCTCCAGCCCATCCACCGTCAGCTTCAGGTCCATCAGCTGTGCGACATAGCCAAAGCCTTCAGCCCCCAAGCCCGCGGTGCCCCCGGCCCCCCGGCAGGACCCCTCCCCACCTGCTGGTTCAGCTCCAGGATCTGTGCGTCAGCCTCGGTGCCGCCGTTGCGGGCGGCGGGCGAGTTTTTCCGTAGGATGCCGCTGGGCACGTTGCCGAGGCGGGCTGGGTTCGGGGTGTTCTTGGGGCCCGTGGGGGAGGTCCTCTGGGGGACTTGACAGCACACGGGGACCAATGGGTTAATGCCGGGTGGGGGGCTGCCAGCAGGGACCCCCCGTACATTGAGTGGGGGGCAGCAGCAAGGGCAGGCAGATCCCCTGTGCAGAGCTCAGGCTCTCCCGACTTCAGCCTCCCCCCTGCCTCAGTTTCCCCTGGCAAATCTTGCCCCCAGCCCTCCAAGGGTGCTCGTGGCTTGTTTGGAGTTCGGCATGGGATCTGAGGAGGCCCCAGACCCTGACAGCTCCCACTGGGCCAGCACAGGGAGCCCCCAGCGCCCACGGGAGCTGCACAGCACGGGGGGATGGCAGCCAGGGGAGGGCTGGGGAGACAAACCAGCCCGGGCCGGGCTGAGCAGGCAGGTGGAGGCAGCAGGATCCCCGTGCTCCGCCGCCCGGGTGTCCCTGCAGACCCCCCCAGCCCCCCCGCGGCAGGCAGGCAGGGCAGGCAGCAGAGGGGGCGCAGGCAGGGGCAGGGGGACGCCTGGCCGTGACCAGGGGTGCAGAGGGCGGGGGGCAGCGCTCGCTGGGGGGCCCCGGACATTACCTGCAGTGCCAATGGGTTTCTTGGGTTTGTTGTAGATGTGATCACCTGGGTTAGGGGGGGGCGCGACGTCCTGGCCCTGCCGCGCCAGCAGCGGGTTGTACTCCTTCCCGTCGTAGTTGGCGTCAAAGAACTTCTTGAACCACTGGATGAACTCAAAATTGTCCTGGAACTTGCCCTTCACCAGCCGCTCCACCGCGATGATCTGGGGGCACACCGAGGGGCCGGTGGGGCCGCGCTCCAGCCTGGCCCCAGCCCAGCAGGGACGCGGGCACAGGGCAGCACGGACCCCAGCGGGGTGACCTCGCACGGGGCAGCCCCCGCTGTCCCCAGGGACCTACTTTGTCCACTCCCATCTTCTTGAAGGCGGCCTGCAGCACCTTGAAGTTGTGGATGTACTCGTGCTCCAGCTTGGCCTGGAACTTCACCTTCCGCAGGTGCACGCAGCCGGGGAACAGCATGTCCATGAACTGGCAATAGGCGGCCCCTGCGCCGGCCCAAGCCACGGTCACGGGGGGCTGGGGGCACCCTGACAACGCGCCCGTGCCCCCCACACCGCCCCACAAGCCCACCTGAGCAGAGCTGCTCGATCTTGGTGTAGTTGAGCTGCAGGGAGTCGTTGACCCAGGCCAGCATGTCATGGCGGCTCAGGTTCTCGCTGGTCACCGACGTCGAGTACACATTGACGGCCATGCCCCAGCTGCCAGGAGACAGGGTCACACTGGCACCCCGGGCACCCCAGCCCCGCACCAGGGCACTGGGACCCGGGGTGTCCATCCCAACTGTGCTCCAGCACCAGGGGCACTGGGACCCATTGTGCCCATCCCACCCAGACTCCAAACCAGTGGCACTGGGACCCACTGTGCCCATCCCAACTGTGCTCCAACACCAGGGGCACTGGGACCCAGGGCATCCATCCCACCCAGTCTCCAACACCAGGGGCACTGGGACATGGGTCATCCATCCCAACTGTGCTCCAACACCAGGGGCACTGGGACCCAGGGCATCCATCCCACCCAGACTCCAAACCAGGGGCACTGGGACCCCTTGTGCCCATCCCAGTTATGCTCCAACACCAGGGGCACTGGGACCCAGGGCATCCATCCCACCCAGTCTCCAACACCAGGGGCACTGAGATCTGGGGCATCCATCCCACCCAGACTCCAGCACCAGGGGCAGCGGGACCCAGGTGCCCATCCCAACTGTGCTCCAACACCAGGGACAGCAGAGCCAGGCTGCCACCATGCACCCTGTGGGACCCCCCGAATCCAGCTGCACCCCAGGGTATGGCAGGGAGGCATGAGGGCCCCCAGGAGCCCCGGTGTGACCCACCTGGCCAGGTGGAGCCCTGCCCTGAACAGGGGTGCCCAGGGTAGCCGGGTTTGGGGTGTTGGGTGGATACAGAGCAGGATGTGGCTCAGGGGGAAGGGGTCCCAGGACACAGGCACTGCCCAGGGGATGCCAGCACTGCCGAGGGCACTGCCCCTGCGCCCAGGGGCTGCTGCCCTGGTGAGCCCATGGGGCTCCGGGGGCTGGTGCCCATAAGCAGCTTAGGGCCCCCCTCTCCGGCCCCCGGTGCTGCCTAATCTGCCGGGATCGGGATCGGGATCGGGGTCCATTAGAGCAGGGCTTAGAGGGGCAACATCTGCCGGCAGGCAGCCTACGCCCAGATGGCTGGGGGCTGCAGGACCCCCCGGCTGCAGTCCCAGCACGGCAGGGCACAGGGCCCCAGCAGAGTGGGGGGCGCTGAGCCCCAGTCTCACTGTCCTGCACAAAATGCTTCGGTGCAGCCACCGAGGGGCGGCCCCGCTGCCCCTTCCCGGGAGCGGGGGTCCCGGTGCTCCCGCGGCCCCCCCGCGCGGCAGCGGCGGCAGCGGCGGCGTTAATCCGCTTCTCTCCTGGGCGAGGGGGGCCGCGGGCCCGGGCCAGCTGCCAGGCGGGGGCAGGGGGGAGGTGCAGCCCCCCTAGCCCCCCTCCCGTGCCACAGCCCGGGGGAATGAGGGGGGCACAGCACAGCGCACATCTGCGCCCTGCGGCTGCAGCGCTGGGGGGCTGTGGGGCGCTGCCACCCCGGGGTGCTGCCACCCCCCGCGGCCGGTCTGGGGGGCAGAAGGTGCCGGTGGCCGCAGTCCCCCCGGTGTGGGGTACAGCACCACGGTGACTCAGCACCGGCGATGTCGCACGGCCGTAGGCGATTGAACCCCCCGCCAGCTGAGCCGAACCGGGACCCCCGGGACCCCCGTCCCGCCCCGCCGTGTTACCGCACGCAGCCGCGGGGGGGGTCGGTATTTTTAGCCACCACCGCAGCAGCTGGAACCGAGCCCCCGCGCCGCCGCCGCCCCCGCACGGCGAGGTGCGCACCGGCCCGCTCCCGGCACCGGCGACAGCCACAGCCCGTCCCGCGGCACCGCGGCAGTGGGGCGCGGGCAGGGGTCCCCCCAGGGCTGTCCCCATCGTCCCCCCCTCCCCTGGCTCCGGCGGCGGAGCTGAGTCATGCGCGGCGCTGAGCCAGAGCCACGCGCACTGCGGTGCCGCGGCTGCCGGTACCGCCGCGCGGGGCACGGGGCTGCAGCGGGGCACGGGGCTGCAGCGGGGCACGGGGCCTGCCCGCACGGCGAGGAACAGCCCACACCCCCTGCCATCGCCGGCCCTTCCCCAAATAACGGGGCAGCCGCCGAAGCGGGGGATGCCCGCGGGACCCGCACGGCCGCCAGGGCTCTGCGGCATCCTGCCTGCGGGGCGCTCCCGGGGGACGGGGCTGGGACCCCCCCGGTTCCCCGCCGGGATGAGCGGGGTGTCACCGCGCCAGCCGCACCTCGAGCCCCGCACACGCCGGCACACGTGAGAGCGCGGGGGCGAACCCTGACACGCGGGGAGCGCCGTGACCCACACCGGGAGCTCTGACCCACACCGGGAGCCCCGGCACGCGGAGGGAACCGTGATCCCGCCGGGAGCGCCTTGCCCCACCGGGAGGAGCCTGACCCCGCCAGGCACCGGCGCGTCCCGGCGGCGGAGCGGGGACGCCGCCCGGGGCTCGCGGTGCCACACGCCCGTCCCCACCCTCCCGAACGCCTTCCGAGCCCCCGGCGCAGCGCCGAGCACGCCCCGGTGTAATGACAGGGCAGCCGGGGCCCGCGGCACCCTCCGACCCGCTGCCGCCCCGACGCCGGCTGATGGACGCGCCCAGGGCCGGTTTGCCGCCGGCCCAGCCGGTTTGCCGCCGGCTCTTGCCAAAAAACCCGAACGAAAATAAGAACTGAGCCCAGATTCCCGGCAGGCCGAGAGGAGAGGGGTTGTCGCCGGGCGCCCGGCCAGGCGGGGGACGCTTACCGCTGCATTTTAATTGTCCGGGCGGCAGCTGCTAATCACGGCCCGACGGCGACCGAAGCCCCGGGCGTGCGTCCGTGCCCGTCCCGCGGCGCTGCCGGGGCGCACGCAGAGGTCGTCCGGGCCCGGTCCCACGCCGCAGCCCCCCGGCCGCTCTGCCCAAACAAACGGGAGCAGAGTGAGGCCGCGAGGTGCCAGCGCGGCGGCCGAGGGCGGCACCGACGGCGGCGGGCACCGGGAGCTGAGCGGCGCGGCGGTGCCGGTGCGAACTGGGCTGCTGCGACTGGCGGCTTCTATTTTGGGAGCCGTCCCGGTGGCTTCTCAAGTGACAAACACGCCAGGGGGGTGGCAGACAGCCCGGCGGGGGCCGTGCGGGGCTGCCGAGGATCTGCACGGTGGCACGGGCGCCAGCAGCGGGGGCCGCTCGCCCACGTCCCCCCCGGTGCCCCCCGGAGCCGCTTCCCCCCACCCCGAGCGGAGCATCCCCGCTGTGCTCCGGTGGGCACAGGTGGGTTTGCGGGGACCGGCTCCGCTCCGGCTCCATCCCCAGCTCCGTACCGGCTGCGGCCCCGGCGCCCTTCCCCGGTTCCCGGCGGCAGGGCCCGTCCCGGCCCGCGGCGAGGCGGCGCGGCCGTTCACGCACCGGGAGCTGGCGGGGCGCGGAGCGAGCGAGTGCCCGCCCGCCCCAATCCCCCGCCGCGCCCGCTCCCGCTAACCTAAATAACCCCCGGCCGGGACAGCGCGCCCGTGCCACGCCGCCGGGCAGGGCTGTCCCCAGAGTGTCCCCCACGCGCGACGGGAGGCACCGCACGCGCTCACGACATCCCGGGAGCCCCGTCAGGGGCCCGGCCGCGGCGGGAGGAGCCGCGGGAAGATCCCCGGTGGGAGATGGAGCTGGACATCCCGGGAGCGGCGGGGAGCGCGGAGAAGGGCCCCGGCCCCATCCCGACACTGTCACCTTACCGGTGACACGGCCGTACCGGGGACACGGCCGTACCGGGGACACGGCCGTACCGGGGACGCCGCCGCCGCCGTGCCGCCATGAGCGCGAGCACCGGGAGCGCGTCACGCTCGGTGTGTCACGGTGACAGCCACCTGCCGCCCTGCACCATCCGCGGGACGGACCGGCGGCACCGGCAGGGCCCGAGCGGCGGCGGCGCGGGTCCCGCGGGTCTCCGGGTGATGCCCGGGCCCCGACGACGGCCGGTACCGGCAGCGGTGCCCGGTGCTGCGCGGGGCCGGAGCGGAGCCTGCAGCTCCCGGCGCGCCGTACCGGCGCCGTGCCGTGCCGTGTCGCGGCCGTTCCGTGCCGTGCCGGGCCCGCGGGAGCCGCGGCCGGACGCAGGAGCGGCGGCCGCTGAGTCAGGCCGGGCCTCGCCGCCACCGGCCCCGCGGGACCGCTCGGCCTCGCCGCTCGGCCCGGCCCGTTCGCGGCCCGGCTCCAACCGCTCCATCCCCGGCGTCACCGCACCAACCGGGCCCCTCACCCCCGGACGCTCCACGTCCGGAGGCCCCTCCGGCCTCGCCTGTCCAGCCCCGTTCGCGGCCCGGCCCCGCCGCTCCATCCCCGCAGGCCCGCGGCCCCCCCGGCCGGTGCTGGCGGGCGGCGCGGCCGGTGCGGGGATGCGGCTGATGTCAGCGGCGCTGCCCGCTCCCCTCCTTGCCCCGCGGGCGGCCCCGCCGCACTCACCGCTCGGCCGCGGCCGCCGCCGCTCCGCTGCCCCCGCTCCGCTGCTCCGGGACCGGGACCGGGACCGGGCCGGAACCGCACGGGCCGACCGCGCCTGCGCCGCCCCCCCCGCGGGCGGTGCCAACCGCCGCGCCCCGCCCCCGCTGCCATGGCAACGGGCGCGACCACGCCCCTTTGGCTCATTGAAATGGGTTGGTCACGCCCCCTTCGCCATCGCAACAGGCATGGACACGCCCCTCTTTGCTGCCATGGCAACGTGCATGGCCACGCCCCCTCCGGCCATGACAACATACATGGCCGCGCCCCCGTCGCCATGGCAACTGGGCCGACCAGCGCCCCCTGGTGGCGAGCGGTGGCGTCTGCACCCCCCGAACCCTCGGGGACCCCGAAACACCCCCAGACCCCTAAACATCCCCTAAATACCCCCAGACCCCCCTAAACACCCCCAGACCCCCTAAACAGGCCCTAAACACCGACACACCCTTCGGGGACCCCCCTAAACGCCCCCAGAGCCCTCGGGGACCCTCGGGGCCGTTCTGTGACCTTTCAAGACTCATCCCGGCCCCCCCGGTGTCCCCCAGGACCCCTCCAGGATCCCCCGAGCCTCCCCCGGTCCCTCTGGAGCTGCCCAGGACCCTCCAGGGCTCCCCCCGCCGGGACACCCCCAGGGACCCTCCCGAGAGCCCCTCGGGACCCCCGGGCACCCCCGGGGACCCCCCTGTGACACACCCAGAGCCCCCAGACCTCCCTGAGCTGGGGTGATGTCGTGGTGACAGGGCCAGCTCTGTGACCCCCCCGGTCTCGCCGTGTCCCCACACGTGTCCCCATGTGCCCACACGTGTCCCCAGACCTTCACGCGTGTCCCGTGTCCCCCTGGGTGCCATCTCCGTGCCTGTCCCCACGCGTGTCTGCCCGTGTCCCACCCATGTCCCTGTGTCCCCATGACCCCCTCAGTGTCCCCATGTCAGGGCTCTGTGTCCCTCTGTCCCTCCATGTCCCTGTGTCCCCTCCATGTCCCCTCTGTGTCCCCATATCCACCCCGTGTCCCCCTGTGTCCCCTCAGTGTCCCTCTTTCTCCCCCATGTCCCCGTGTCCCCATGTCAGGGCTCTGTGTCCCTCTGTCCCCCCATGTCCCTGTGTCCTGTCCCCCCGTGTCCCCATATCCACCCCGTGTCCCTGTGTCCCATGATCCCCTCGGTGTCCCCATGTCCCCGTGTCCCCATGTCCGGTCTCTTTCTGCCCCCAGCGCAGAAGGGGGGGTCACTTGCCCCAGGGCTGTGCCCGTGGGGTCCGCGAGGCTGTCCCCTGTCCCCTGTCCTTGTCCCACCGGCCCCGCCGCTGTCCCCTGTCCCCTGTCGCTGTCCCCTGTCCCCGTGCTGTCCCCCGTGTCCCTGTCCCCGTGCTGTCCCCTGTCCCCGTGCTGTCCCCCGTGTCTCTGTCCCCGTGCTGTCCCCTGTCCCCGTGCTGTCCCGTGCCCCTGTCGCTGTCCCCTGTCCCCCGCTGTCCCCAGAGGCGCAGGCGGGGCTGTGAACGGTCTTTAATGAGCACACAACGGGCGGTTCCTACATCGGCCGTGCGACACCGGGGACACGGGACCCGCCGGGCGCCACCGCCCCGAACACCTACGGGACCTACGGGGAGGGCACAGGGGACACGGGGACACGGGGCTGCCACGCCCCGGCACCGGCGACACCGGCCCGGGGGCAGGGCTGGGGAGCCGGCAGGGAGGGGACAGCGGGAGGGGACACGGGCGTCACCGGGGACCGCACCTGGGACCTCACCTGGAGGGGAGGAGTGACCTGGGAGGGACATGGGCCTCACCTGGGACGGCACCTGGAGGGAGGGGACAGCGGGGAGGGGACACGGTGTCACCTGGCAGAGGAGTGACCTGGGACCTCACCTGGGACCTCACCTGGAGGGAGGGGACAGCGGGAGGGGACACGGTGTCACCTGGCAGGAAGAGTGATCTGGGACCTCAGCTGGGACTCACCTGGCAGTGAGCAGTGACCTGGGACCTCACCTGGCAGGGGAGGGCTGGCACAGGTGTCACAGAGGTGGGACAGGGGACACCTGCCCAGGGGTTCACCTGAGCACAGGTGTGTGCAAACACCCCCTGGGCCAGTGCAGGTGTGACACAGGGGTGTGACACTGGTGTGACACAGGGGTGTGACACGGGTGTGTGACACAGGGGTGTGACACTGGTGTGTGACCGAGTGTGCAGGCGTGACACAGGGGTGTGACACGGGTGTGTGACACGGATGTGTGAAACAGGGGTGTGACCCAGGTGTGTCACCCTAGGGGTGTGACCCAGGTGTGTGGCACTGGTGTGTGAACCAGGTGTGACCCAAGGGTGTGACACCAGTGTGACACAGGGGTGTGACACTGGTGTGTCACCCAGGGGTGTGACCCAGGTGTGTGACACTGGTGTGTGACACTGGTGTATGATCCAGGTGTGACTCAGGTGTGACCCAGGTGTGTCACCCAGGTGTGTGACACAGGGGTGTGACACTGGTGTGTCACCCAGGGGTGTGACCCAGGTGTGTGACACTGGTGTATGACCCAGGTGCGGGGAGCCCCGCCGGGCCGGGCCGGGGCCGGGGCGCTGGCGCCCGGTGCTCAGTTGGGGGACACGTCCCCGGCTCTACCAGATGCCGCTCGACCGGCCCCCGGGGGGAGCGAGAATCCGGGCCGAGGCTCGTTTTGGAACGTGGTCATCGATCTGAGAACCTGCCGGACACACGGGCGGTCAGCAGGGCCGGGGGGGCTGCGCACAGCCCCGTGACCCCCGGGCACCCCGGCACTGCTGGCACTGCACCGGGGGGGCTCCGTGACCCCCGGGCACCCCGGCACTGCTGGCACTGCACTGGGGGGGCTCCGTGACCCCCGGGCACTGCTGGGACTGCACCGGGGGGGGCTCCGTGACCCCCCTGTCCCACCCCAGCTGTGCTGCACGTGGCACTGACCAGAACTGACCAGCACTGATCAGAACTGACCGGCACTGACCAGAACTGATCAGAACTGGTCAGAACTGACCAGCACTGACCAATACTGACCAGCACTGACCAATACTGACCAATACTGACCAGCACTGACCAGCACTGACCAGCACTGACCAGCACTGACCAATACTGACCAGAACTGACCAGCACTGACCAGCACTGACCAGCACTGACCAGAGCTGGCCAGCACTGACCGGCACTGACCAGAACTGACCAGAACTGACCAATACTGACCAGCGCTGACCGGCACTGACCAGCACTGACCGGCACTGACCAATACTGACCAGCACTGACCAGCACTGACCGGCACTGACCAGAGCTGGCCAGCACTGACCGGCACTGACCAGAACTGACCAGAACTGACCAATACTGACCAGCGCTGACCGGCACTGACCAGCACTGACCGGCACTGACCAATACTGACCAGCGCTGACCGGAGCTGACCAGCACTGCCCAATACTGACCAGCACTGACCAGCGCCTCCCGCAGCCCTGCCTTGTGCCAGCGCTGACGCTCATGTCCCCCCGTGCCCACGCCGTGCCCGCGGGCCAGCGCAGCCGGTGCCAGCGGAGCCCCCAGCCCCGCGCGGGGAGGGGGCTCCCGGCTGCAGCAGCGGCCCCGGTGTCCTGCCCGCACAGCCGCGGTGCCCCCGGCCGGCACAGCCCCCGGCCCGCCCCAGGAGCCCCCCAGCGCAGCCACACGACGGACGGTGCCCGGAGGGGCCCGGGGCTGGGGGCACCCCCTGCTCTGCCACGGCCCTGCCCGGGACAGGGAGGGCTGAACCTGGGGTGGGGGCGTGGGGAGCGCCCTGCAGGGGACACTGGAGGAGGGGGTGACAGGACGGCCCTAGGGGAGGGATGGCGGGACACCCTGCGGCGGCACTGGAGCACCCCGGGAGGTGGCGGGGGCAATGGGGACACCCGGGGGGGGACAAGCGCCCGGCTGGGGGCAGAAGGCACCAGCGGGGGCTGCGGGCGAGCCCCGGGGCCGGCCCCGCTCTTACCGGACAGGCTGAAGCTGGACTCGTGCAGGTCCCTCATGCCCCCGTGTCGCGTGGCCGGCCGGGTGGGCGTATCGGCCAGGGGCGTCCCCGTCTCTTTTTTCCCGGCATGCACAACCACGGCCACGTCCCCCAGGTACGGGGTGCGATCCACACCCCGCAGCTTCAAACTCTGCCGGGAGCGAGAGAGAGAGCGGAGAGAGCATCAGCTGCGGCCGGGGGGGGCTGCGGCTGGGGAGGGGGCGCTCGGAGAGATGCTGGGTGGGCCGGGGGGCTCCCGGTGCAAAGCAAGAGCAGGGGCTGGGGGAGGTGGGTGGCCCTGGCAGAGCAGCCCCTCGCCCCGTCCCCCCGGCGGAGCCAAGCCATGCCAAGCCGTGCCAAGCCAAGCCAAGCCATGCCAAGTCGTGCCAAGCCAAGCCGTGCCAAGCCAAGCCATGCCAAGCCCATGCGATGCCCGTGCCCCCCCAGCCACCCAGAGCTCCCGACAAGCGCCCCAAGATCTTCCTGTGAGCTGCCCCCTCCCTCGCAGCATCAGCAGCACGCTGTCCCCAGCGTGTCCCCCGCAGCGTGGGCACAGGGTGTCCCCAGTGACAGGGACTGCCAGAGCTGCTGGGTGTCACCGCCGGGCAGCCCCAGCCAGGTGTGTCCCTGTCCCGGTGCCACCGGGAGGCCTCGGGAGAGCCAGCACAGGGCAGAGCCTGGGCAGGGCAGGGCATGGCGAGCCATGATGGCAGCACGTGCCCTGGAACTGCCATGGGCCACACACGTGCTGGGACAACTGTCCTCTTGCACTGCCAGGGCACGGTGATGGCACCACTATGGTACAGCCATGGCACAGCTCTGGCACAGCCAAGGCACAGCCGTGGCACCAGTCTGGCATGGGCACAGCCATGGCATGGCTCTGGCTCAGCCATGGCACTGCTCTGGCACTGCTCTGGCATGGCCACGCACAGCCATGGCACAGCTCTGGCACAGCCATGGCACTGCCATGGCACCAGTCTGGCACAGCAATGGCACTGCTCTGGCACAGCCATGGCACAGCAATGGCACAGCCATGGCACCACTCTGGCACAGCCATGCACAGCCATGGCACCAGTCTGGCATAGCCACGGTGCCACCACAGCACTGCTCTGGCACAGCCACAGCACCAGTCTGGCACAGGCACAGCCACGGCACAGCTCTGGCATGGCACGGCACGGCTCTGGCGCGGCCGTGGCTGCCCCGTACCTTCTCCCGCTGCACCAGTTTCTTGTAGGCGATGTCGGGGAAGGAGCGCAGCGGGCAGAACTTGCCGGTGCCCTCGGCGCACATGAAGACGCCGTTCTCGTAGACCACGCGCCCGCGGCTGATGGTCACCAGGGGCACCCCGTGGCACCGCATGTTCTCGTACAGGTTGATGTCCCCGCCCTGCACCTGGGTG